TAAATTGTCCTTAGAAGCAGCCATAGTCAGTAAGCAGCTTAAGTGTTAAAAGTAAGGGTTTTTTTTTTTTTGTTTAAAGCAGATAGAATTATTCTGTAGATTGTATCTTAAGTTATATGAAGGTGCTTTAATTCATAAGCTACTGTTTGTCTGTATTCTATGCGGTGGGCATGATTTAGGGACCAAATCAGAAAAACTTCTGTTCTTGTTCACTTTGCAGGGCCAGCAGAGCAGTGCAAAGCTACAGGGTGATCATTGTTAGTGTCATGCATCATTGATGCTGTGGTGGTGGCTGTGAAGACACATGAGTGACTTTGGGTAATACAGACCTCTGTGGTGGGAAAGCAGCAGTGCTGCTGCTGCTGGGCAAGCAGAGCCAAGATTCACTGTGCTTCCACAGCTTTGGTTCCTTATGATAGTGTCAGGGAAAGAGGCCAGCTTGGGAGAAGATTGCTGTCAGATCAGGGCCAGCACTTTGAGTGACAGCTTTTTGCCTATTAAGGCTAAGCAGCGAGCATCAATAGGGAAATCCATTTAGCTGGTTTTATTAATATTACAGTACAACTGCCCTTTCATTTACTACAGCAGAAGTAAAACAAATTATTTTTTTAAGTCTAAATGAATATGCAGAGGCTATAGCAAGTGAAGCTGCAGAATCAAGATTCAGTAGGAGACATTTGTGTGTCCAGTTCAGTTTTAGGGTTTGTATGAACTGTTTTCTGAAATGTCTTTACTCTCCTGCATAACACCTTTTCTACAAATGGTTTGCACAAGCACACATATATCAGGGGGTCCATGCAGATGTTCGTGGCAGCCAGCCACAGAGTGCTTTCTTTTGCCACAAAGAGCTGATTTTGCAGATGGCAGTCTATTTGGGTTGTTGTTTGACTCAGAGTATAGGGGACCCTGCTGAAATGAAAGGGGGCAAAGCATAAGAAAAACACAGTGAAAATGATGAATACTTTTCCTTTGACCCTCCGTTCACTTTTGTTGTCTTTCTTCTGTGTTTTCATATAAGACTCATAGACTTTTTTGGCAATAATTATATAAAATAGAAGCATGAGGATGAGAACAGACCAGAAGATGAATTGACATATATAATTGACAGCTTCATGCCATTTGAGCCCAAAGTAATTCTTCAACAAGGCACACTTCTTCACAGATTGGGGTGTTGCTTTCTTGTTTGAAAAGATCATGTTAGGCAGAGAGAGAACAAAGAAGAAGAGCCAGACCAGACCCGCGAGGATCTTTGCTGAGGTCAGGTTTTGCACCCAGAACTTCCCAAAAGGTCGCACAATCTTGAGAAATCTGTCAAAAGCAATGAGACCCAGTAGCACAATGCTAATATACATGGTGTCATAAAACACTACGGCTGAGAAGCGGCAGACAAAGGCTTTGAGTTGCCATGGTCCCAGGCCAGAGTCCGTCAGGATTTTCAGAGGAAGCATCAGGGTCATTATGAAATCAGAAACTAAGATATTTTTCAGGTAGACAATGAAAGTTGATGTGCTTGGAATGTGGCAGAAAGCACCCAAAGCCAGGCTGTTTAGTACGAGTCCCAGCAGGAAGATGAGTGTATACAGTGCTGGGAAGACCAGGTGGATTACTGTGGTGTCTCGGTGGCACAGTGCAGAGGAAGGTGCTCCACTGAAGTTGCTGACAATGCTCTCATTTGCAAAGTCTCCCATGGTTTGAAATAGACTAGGGTGAAAAGGAGAGAGAAACCATAAACCATAATATCCTGTATTTAAAGTTAAGTGTTCCTTACAGTGACTGGCAGATTTAAACAAGCACAAAACCTGAACATGCATTAAATAGACTGACCAATTTCTCTTCTAGTTCATAGAATCTAAATCCTTGCCTAAGTTTAAGTTGCTACAAACTGTTGTCTAGTGAAAAGTTAAAATGGTATATATTCGTTATGGAAAACTAAGATAATATAATAGCAAAGTATAACAGCAGATTGCCTAGGGCAAGCCCCATTTGTCTTTACATGGTAATGTATTTTAACATTAAACAGAAATTTCACAGTTATGGCCCAGAAGTAATATGCTTCTGGTATTTCTTACCAAGCACACACTATTTTTACCTTCTCAGCCGAGATTTAAATGACATTTTCAAGATAAGGTGCACACTGCTGATTATCAGCATTTTTCATCTGAAAGCCCAATGACCGAGTGCCCCATCACACCACATGAATGCTCTGATCATACAAATACCTGAGCAAGCCTGGCAGCAGCTGTTTCAGAGAGGTGTTTTTGGCTATCTCTGGTTCATCCACTGTTCCTCTGCTGACAGGAGCCTCAAGCAAAGTATTAAGAATGGGGAAATGTGTAGAAAGATGAGACTTTTTCTGCTGGTGTAGCATGTTGTTTCCTTCCTCATTTCCATGTATTGCTTGAGTGCTGTTGCTTTTCTCTCTTCCTTTTGCTCTTTGTCAGAAAGTCACTGCCTTCTCCTATGCTAAAAAAACTTAAAAAAAAAAAACCCCAACAAAACCCCCCCAACCATATCCATCCAGACAGGCACATTTTCTGGTTTTTTGTTTGTGTGGGGCAGACCTGATGGCACCTACACTGTGCTGTTGCAATTCGTCTGTCTTAGATATGTGGGATGCACAAACACAGCGTTTCCTGACAGTTTTCCAGGATAATCCTCAAAAATAGCTCTGAGTTTTTGTTTGTGTGTGTGAATTCCCCTGTTCTGGACACACAGACGCATGACTAGAAAGGCTGCTCTGAGCCACCCTTATACTGGATTATACACCTTTACACTGGTCTCATCTACAGAGTCATGTGCACATGTTCAGGAACTGTATGCTCTCTCGGCAGCCTGTTAATATTGACACATGAGTCTAAGGTTGACTTTTGATCATCTGAATGGGATTTCTGGTTTCTTTTGGCATCAGTGTGTCCAGGTGATGCAGCATGCTGGTTACAGATGCCTTCTGGTTCTGGCAGAGGCTGCTGCCACTGCTTGTATTTATGATGTGTTTGTTATGTATAATGTTGGAATCTAGTGGATTGCTCTGTAAACAGAACCTTTTGTGTAAGTTTAACTGGTTCATGTGATTTGTCTTGTATTTTTCCTGTTGACTTATGTGACTTAGGATTCTGGCTCCTAGCCACTGTGTGGGGAATGGCTCACATCCAAGCCGTCCTTGTGGGCAGGCATAGTTTGCTTTTGAAGTTCTCAAGCTGCAGCTGTATTGACAGCAAGCTGGTGCATTAGTAGCTACGTTTTGATTAATGTAGGTCTGCATGCTGATGTCGGTGTTAAATGGCTGGCAGAGAGCAAAGAGCCTTGAGGATGACCAGCATGAAGGTCACCTTCACTACTGTCAACAGTGGTGTCCCAAACTGCCTGACCTGACTTTCTGTCATTCATCAAGGACTAGATAAAGCTGAGGTGGGCCATTGTAATACCCCAGGACTGATGTACACAGCAGCACCTTGCATGTTTTCTTCTAAACTGACCTCCACACACTGTTCGCAGCAGTAAGAGGCAGGTGCTAAGTGCCTCCATGTATCCTGTCAGCGACTACTGAGTGGTGCACAGAGAGCTGTGCTATACCTGTTGTCTGACAGCAAGTCTGACCAGGAAATGCAGCTGCCACCCTTTCTCCCTCTGTAGGCAAAAAAAAAAAAAAAAAAGGTGGGAAATCAGTGTTGGGTTGAAGTGCGGCATCTTGCACTAGTTTTCTGTGCACCAGCTAGAGCTGGTTGGTCCTGGGCCCCAGGGGGCTGGCCGCGGAGCGCGCATCAGTCACCCGCAGCAGTGGTTCTATGGAAATACCAGTGCCCTTCCAGTTACTGATTGTAATACGTGTTGGTGTGTCTGTCAATATAAGCAGTGTACTAAATGCTTCGTAAAATTTATTTAAATTTTGTAAAATTTTATTTAATTCACCCGGGCAGGTTACAAACTAAGTAAGTTGCTAAAGTTAGTGAACTGTCTTTTAACCTTTTAGGAAATTATTTATCAGTCATAAAAATGCCCGATGCCCTGCCAGGCACAGAAAGTGCCAGAGAAGGGTAGACAAGCAATGACTTTTGGCAGAATTGAGCTCTTGCATGATGGTGAAACGCTTTTCTGGATTGCAGCTGTTTTGCAGGGATGATAAATGTACCATAATTGATTATGGTAGCCTAGGATCTTTTTCATGTATGGTGGTTTTGATACCTGAAAATGTTATGCATTTTTTTAAATTTCTTCTAAATGAAAAAGGGGACATTGTTAAAACTTTTGTATAGTGCAAAAAACCTGCCCTCAATAATCAGCAAGCATTTTCCCTTGAGTCTGTCTTTCCCTATGCTCTAAATTGAATCTTTGTGTATTTTCTAATATAATATAGTGTTCTCCATAAAAGTGTACATTTTTGTTTATTTATTTAATTGAAGTATATGAAGATAAGGCATCAAGATAAGCCTGATTATGAAATAATATCCTGTGACATACAACTGTTAATTATTGGTCAATGAATTTAAGAATTGCAATAATATAATGAGATAAGCAAAATGTTATTCTGTTACCCTAAATGTGCACAGATTAATGATTTATATACCTATGTCGTATATTTCTGTTTGCCAGTTGCGTGCAAGGTGACAAGTCCCTATATTTAAGAATCACATTTACTGTGTATTTTATTTGCATTTCCCAGATCTTGCCTTGTCACGGACAACTCTTTCTACAAAATCTTTGCAGTACATAATCTCATCTGTAACATTTCATGACTCTGTTTTAATTTTTTTCCTTACAGCTCCAACTGTAAGTTCAGACTTCCTCCCAGCAATTCTTACAAACATGGAAGTTGTGATTGGGTGGTTGAAGTTTTCTAGTCTCACAATTTTTTCAACAAGGGATGTTGGTTCCAGGGTGTTTGTGCTTCGTTTGCAGGACAGTTTCTAAAGAAGTCAGTGAAATTCTAGATACTCTTTGCTGGAGCAGTTCTGCTTCTACCTACCAGTAGACATATGTGGCCAAGAAGGAACATGGTAGCTCTAGAGTGGTGTTTCATCTGTGTCATCTCCTTCGTTCTGCTCCTTCATCTGTGCTCTGAGTTCTGACAATGCTGTGTGCTTGCACAGCATGTCAAGCAAAGACTTTCTAAATGATTTGCAAAGGAAAAAGTATATGAATGGGTCTAGGCAAGCATTTAGTGATGTCAGCCACAGTGTGCTCTCTTTCAAGTAAAACAAGGTGTTCTGAGCAGAGCATTCAAAAACATCTCTTGTTTGGCTCAGTGTGTAGGGGATTCTAGTAAAGTGAAATGGCACAAAGCAAATAAAAAACACTGTGATAATGATGAAAACTTTCAGATTTACAGTCTTTTTGGATGCCTTTCCTGTGGATCTTGTCCTTTTGTAGGATTTGTAGAGTTCTTTACTTATGAGTATGTAGCATACAACTATAACTGCTAAATTAATCCAGAAGATAAGTTGACAGATGTAGTTTACGATTTCATGCCAGACTAAGCCAAACTCTGATTTCAAGAGAGCACACTTTTTTACGTTCTTAGGTGTTTGCTTCTTGTTTGTTAGAATCATGTTGGGTAATGAAAGAGCAAACATTGATATCCATATTGCTGTGGAAAGGATCTTTGTCCCTAAGAGGCTCCTTGGTGTTGATGTTCTGAATGGTGAAGCAGCTTTCTGGTAGCGATCAATAGTTATCAGACCAAGAAATGAAATGCTAATGTACATGGTAAAGTAAAATACAACCTGGGTGACCTGGCACACAAATCCTCTCAGTACCCATGATACCAGTTTTGCATCGCTAAGGATTTTAAATGGAAAAGTCAAGATCATAAGGAAGTCAGAAATGACAGTGTTCTTGAGGAAGATGATGAAATTGGATTTACTGGATATTTTAAAAAAGACCCACATTGCCAGGCCATTCATTGTGATACCCACCAGGAACAGAACTGTATAAAGCAAAGGAAAAATGACTTGACTGATTCTGTTATCGCTGGTGCAGTTGCTGTTGTTTCTAGGGTAGCTGAAGTTGGTTATGACTTTCATTTGCACTTCGTCTATCCACCCTTTCCTGTAAAAACAAAAAAGATAATTGATTTTTGAGTTATAGTTGTCATAAAACTTCAACCTTTTTTAGTCTAGTTTTAATTTCTGTGTTGTGAATGTTTTGTGGGGATTTTGACTGCTGTAATTGTGTTTTATTCCACTGAGCATGTCAGGTTTCTACAGGAGAAGAGCACTAGATGTAGCCATGTTTGTAAGGTGATCTGGTTTGATCTTCTGAGACTGAAATGCTAAGGTGACCTTCCATCCTGATCTCCTGAGCTTCCATCCTGACCTTGTGAGCTTCCCACGCGGCTTTCCTAAGACTTGCCTGCAGGGGTGGGCAAGCGCCTGGCCTGGTGGTGCAGCCAGCATCATGCCTCCTGTCCCATGGTGTGTGTAGGTGACAGCACAGCTCTTGCTGGGTGCTGTCCAGATCTGGGGACTCTGCCATAGATGTCCCGGTTCCCATGGCCCTGGTGCTGGCATTACAGCTGGTGAGGAGCTGGTGAGGGCCATGGTATGTGGGTCTGTGTGGTGCGGGCACACTGCAGTGCACACTGCTGGTGGCAAGGCCGTGGTGCTGCACACAGGATGTCCAGGCTGCAGTTTCAGTTGTATGACACCCATCATCCAAACTGCCCATCTACACCCAGGGAGAAATACCCCTTCCCTCGTCTTCCTCAGTGTGGAAAAGGGAAGCATTTAAACTCATTTTGACTGCATATATAGCAGTGCTGGACTGAAGTAAAAGGAATTGAATACCTCTTTTATTATGTTTCTGTATGGCTGGACTCTTTCTCCTGGTAGTGTTATTTCAGCCTTTCTTTTGGTTGTCTTTGAAGCAAATCTCTGCCTTCCCCTTCCTGCCCCTGCTCAGACCCTAGGAATAGCTGCTTGTGGGCTGCTGCCATTTCACCTGGGTGCTCAAAGGATGGATGTGGCATCCCACAGAGTCAATTTTTGTTGCTTTCAAGGGGAAGAAAGTGAAAGAGGAATACCTGTTCTTCAACCATACATATTGGCACTTGGACAGCTAATGGTATCTGTTACTTCAGAGATTACGCTTTTGCCAGCAAAATCTGAAGTTATTTGTAGCTTTATTTATGTGGGTATTCGTGTATACCATTACTCCTAGTTTGGCAGTTTATCCTGTCCTTTTCCTAAATCAATTGCTTTACCTGTGCTGTGTTGCAAGTGAATTTAAAACTTCACTGCCTTGAGCCACCATGCAGGATGTGCAGCATCCCATGCTCTGCAGTGAGCACCTTTGTGAAGCTGCCGCTGAGCCTCTGCATAGTGATGTGCCCCTCCGAGCCCACCCTTACCACGAACCCGAGTACGTCGTCTGGCCTGTCACACACAGCCACTATGTGCTGGATGTCTGCAGCGCTGGTGCCAGTGGCTGGGCTGAAAACTGATGCTCTTAGTCCAAAAATCTTGGTCAGATCAGGTCTGATCCAAACTGGATGCCTGGGAAAGCCAGGCAGGGGTGTTGAATCAGTAAAGGCTGTGTTTCAAAAGGAGCAACTTTCAGATGTGTAGGTGCACATAAAATTGCTCTATTTCTGTTTAACTCTGCCTTTGTAAAAATAAGGCACTCAGGGAAGCTGATGCTTTCTCAGGTGATGCCCAGACGTCCCTGACATAATCCTTACAGAGCTGCAAAGTTTTATTTCTGTCTATAAGATAGAAATAAATTGGTTTATGCTTTGAAGCTCGTAATAGATTCAGCTTCCAACTCTAATCCTAATAAAATGAGTATTCCCTTCGCATGCAAAATCAGACACCTGCCACCCACCCCAAAATAAAGGAGAAGGTTACCGTAGTGTGTTGTGGAGGAGCGATGAAACACTTGGGTGTTTCCGTGATGGGAAGCTAGTGTTGTTGGCAGAGTTGTTCACAGTTCCTCTAGCTCTTCCCCCTGTGAGCAGGCAGGAGCGTTCATGTGTCCATCCCTTGGAGCAAGGGGCAGCTGGAGGAGCCACTGTGCATCCCAGCTCTGAGACTTAGACCTTCCTCTGGCTGTGAACTGACTTCTTAGCCAGAGACAGCTGCAAAGTCCAGGTGACGCTTTTGGTGCTTCTGCTTTTGTTCTCTCTAGAAGAGAGGGAGAAACAGAACTTTAAAAAAGAATTAGCTGCTGACTTCCTGCTTTTGGCCTGCTAATGGAGTCACTGTTTTTAAGAGAGCCTGTATTTTGTAGGACTCTGCAACTTTTCTGAGTGTACTCCCCTCTGCTCTGTTTTTTGCTTTGTGGTTCTTTAGTATTGTTTCTGTACACAGCTTAATTTCTTAGAAGAATTTAAGTAGTTGAAAGAGGTATTGATTGCTTAGTTTGGATAACTAAATAATTGTATCTTGCATGACTTGCAGAACAGTGCTCCAAGTCTGTAAGTTATATGCAGTGTGTCAACATTATATGACACATCTCATTAAAAGACTAAATATAACTAGTTCCAATTTAAATAAACCATACAAATTCTTTTTTGTTTGGGATGTGCAAACCAGAATTTAAGGAGTTGTGCTGCAGACTTTTTCAAGAGGCTTGCACATAATAAGAGAAATGTCACAGTTTCTAGGCATCTGTTTTCTATTTACTAATCTGCTACTGAATATCAATCCAGGAACAGTTAAGAAAGTCACCATATGCATCCTCTGACTCTGTCCTTAGAGGTGCAAACATAATTCATAATATCAAATTGCGTTTTTTCCCGTGTTTTTTCCCCTATTCTTTAATCATTTCACTAGGCAGAGTTTCATCCACACTGGTAACCACAGGAGATGCTTTTTTTGCTGAAGAGTTGATTATTGTTTATCACAGCCTGAGCTGCTCCGGTTGGGTTTCTACAGAAGATGACAATAAAAAGAAAAGAGATGATTCTATGTCACTTGTATTTGATCTTTTCAGGATGAATCTTCAAGTCATGAGTGTAACCAGCGCATGACTCTCCTTTATGGCGTTGGTAAGGAGCGTGATGAAGCAAGGCATCAGCTGAAGAAGATTACCAAAGACATCCTCAAAATTCTGAATAAGAAGAGTACTACTGAAATGGGTGGTAAATGCTTTAATGCTGCTGTGTGGTAGCCTGTAGTGAAGATTGTGGGAGCTGTAAGGTGCTCAGCAAGTTGTCTGGAGCCATGAATGTTGGTCATGTAATTTGGCTTTCATCCCCTTCACGGTGACGGGTTGCAGTACTGACCCGAGTCCTGTAGCACAAGGTGGTGCATTCTGGTGGCCTTATGTATGGCTGCACCAGGACGCCGAAGGGTTGATGTGGCGAGAAATCCCTATTTTTCATTATAGCAACTTGACTGTAAATGTTTGTGTTAAGCTAAGGCCTGAAATAGGAGATCCTGGCCAGTGAGGAGTGCATATTCCTTACCCTCCTGGTAAAACTTGTGTGACTGTTTTTCAGTTTTTCTTGGGTGTTGCTTTTTTTTTGCATTGGAATAACCTCAAAGTAGCTTTGATATTGTTACATGCTGTGGCCCATATTTGTCCCAGATATAACGGAAAACTGGGGCAAATAAGAGTTTATGTAGTCCTGAGTAATGCTTAGGAAGATTTTTATTGTCTTTTAAATCAGTGATAATGCAAAAAGCTACTAGGGATCCATTAAATATAAAATGACCAAAATAACTTTGTGTCTGTTAAGTTGGGGATGAAGGGCAGAAAGCCAGGAAGACCAGACAAGAAGCATTTCCAACCCTAGAGACTGTGTTCACAAAACTACAGCAGCTGTCCTATTTTGATCAACATCAGGTGACATCTCAGGTATTGCCTATATAAAATCGTAGCCTTTTACATTCTGCTGTAGAGATATCAAATAGGAAGCAAATCTAGGCTTTTAGAAGTGTTTTGTACATACCAAGAATTTTCAGTGCACTGCTTCTTCAAAGGCAAGAAGAAGAATGCTGCCTTGGCATTCTGAAATCCCTTCTTCAGTAGATACTTGGGGGTTTGGTTTGTCTGTTGGCAGGGGGGTGGCTGGTTGGTTTGTTTGCAAGAAGCTTTCTGGATTATTATGGATTTTATGATTTTTTAATGAAAGATTTGTGACAAATTTTGCATAAATTTCCATTAATAGCATTGTTTAGGGATTGCTGCTAAATTAGATACTCATTACCCAATCTCTTGCATGTGTGCAAGGTTACATTACCGTATAGATGTTCATGAAGGGCAGCAAACTCTTCTGTGTTTTTGTGCAACAAACTATGTCTCTTAGAGAAGCTGGTGGGTAATACGGTTTGTTTTTTTCTGGATATTAGAATTATTTATTAGAATTTACTGTTAAAAAGCTGTATCAGGGGCTGACTGGAGCACATAAGTAATTAGTTTTAAATGGCAAGCCTAGTTTTCCTGGTTTCTATTAGGACACGTAAGTGGGCAAATGTGTCCGCATAGGATTTTATCGCTTTGTCAGGTGTTCCTGTGTTTAAGTATAGCTTAACATTAGAAGTTAAGGCTAACATTAGAAACAGAGTAAAAGACATACACTTTTGATACTTAATTTATGAAGCAGCTTTGGCTGTGGTCTTTGGAATTAATTTAGTACATGTTTTGCTTGCAGGTTAACATGTTATTAATTGTCTGAAAACCATCAATAAAAAACCAGAATGCAGTAACATGAAAAGAAAAAAGATTTTACCTCTTCTTTAAAGCAAGATACAGCACAGAATAGGAATCAGTACCGTAGATGTTAAGAAAAGTTTGACTCCCATCTGTAAAGCAGCAGAACAGCATTTTTTGTGTTGTCAGTTTTGCAGATAAAACAGCAATGTGATGGACTTGGAAGATAGCAGAGTAATGGATGTACTCAGGTGTGATTTGTTAGTGCTGTTATCTGCAAAAGGCTGTCATTTGCTATTACCACTTATAAAATAGGACTTTGGGAGCACTAGTATGTCTGAGAAGCCCTCAGTCACTGTATGGCTTTTCAACATTCATTTTCACAGATCTCCAGTAATGTTCTCGAACAGATAACAAGTTTTGCCTCAGG